AGATGAGGTCTCGCCAAGTTGCCCAGGCTGTTTTCGAACCCATGGGCTCAGTCAATCCCTTCACCTCAGTCTCCCAAAGTGCTGGGATTACAGGCTTGAGCCACCGCGCCCGGCCTGCCCCCCAGATTTTAAGTAGAAGTCCCTCAGGGATGCCAATAGTATATACCATGCTCTGGCCCCCATCCCTTCTCCCGGAATGTCGAGGACGGTTTTCTCATTCGAGGAATGGAATAAACACAAGCTGGTGTCTCCCAAGGCAAACCACAGACAGCCTCTATGTTGTGGCCTCCATCTTTACCTGAGGGAAGCATATCATACAGGTTTATCGGTTCATTCCCAGTCAGTTGTTGACTAAGACACTCGTGGGGCCAGAGAACAGCAAGGAAACGTTCTGTTGCAGCAGTAGATTGTCCTTGTAGGGGTTATCGTTTTCTCATTTTGGAGTGTGGATTTTTTAAAAGTCAATTTCTGCGGAACTCCAAATGTGTCCATTCTCAATGAGCAAGTTTGCTGTACTTAGGACAAAGAGGACTTGAGAACTTGAAGGGGTTCACACCGGCTTCAAATCCACCAACCAAATTGCTCACACAGACCCAGGCAATTACGGTTCTCCCCCCACCTTCCGTGGGCTCCTTCGAGGCCAGGAGGGGGAGGACTCCGGGAATGCTCCTGCTTTGCCCCCGGGGAACCGTCGTCCCGCGCCCTGCCGGCCCCAATCTGCGCCCCTCCTGGCAAAAAGGGGGCTCTGAGCCCCGCGTGGGCCTTGGCGGGTGTGGCCGGGCCGAGCCTCCCTGGACCCCTGGTTTGCTTTCCCAGCTCCTGTGTGGGGCCCGATGACCCTCGAAGCCTTGAAGGAGCTGAGCGCAGGAGCTTGGGAGAGGAGCTGGCAAGCTGTTCGCCCTCGGGCTGGGAGGCAAAGGCCAAAGGTGGCAGGCCCTGGTCTCCTCCAAAATACGCATGCGAAAACCGCTAAGGTCGGAGGGGTGGAAGGCCACGTGGAGGCGCGCGGCTGCCGGGGCGGGGCCCCCACCCCGGGCGACGGCGCTAGGGGCTACCGGACAGCGGCAGGAAGCGTCGCCCCGTGGGCAGAGGGGACGGAGCGCGCAAAACAGTCAACCCCACGCCCGACTCGGAAAACGCAAGCGATCGCGGAAGCCCAGCCGCGTAAAGGAAGCTGACGAGCAACCCTGGAGGGACAACCTCTGTTTGGGGAACTGGCGCCCCCAGATGGCTGCCGCGAATCCCACGGAAATGTTCGGGCACGCGCACTGCGCGGCCCCACCCGGAGCAGAGATGGCCCGGGTGCCCGGTCCCAGGGCGAGGAGGTGACGTCGCCCCCCGGCCGCCCTGCGCGGGGATGAAAGCCAAGCAATCGCGCTGCTGGAGACACCCAGCAGGTCAGGACGCGTCCCCAAGGCCAGCTGGGCCCTGATTTTACCGAGGCACACGTAGCGCCAGCGGCGGTGTCACCTGCTGCGTGACCTGATTCAAGTGACTTAACCCCTCCGTGCCTCAGTTTCCTCCTGACTATTTCTGCGCAAGATGATAATCACGCCCGCCTTCTGCGTGGCAGCGAGGCTTTCGGGAGACAGGGCCGTCGTCGGTCAGGCAGTGAGGACAGCCTCTTAGCGATGGCTCGGGTCGCCCCTCTGGGTGCTTTTCCAGGGCCCTGCCTAGGTAACTGCCTTAATCTCGGCTCCGGAGTCGCTGTAACGGCTCGATGCCCCCAAGGAGACCGTGCATTTTAATAATGAACCTAGAAACCCTCAAATCCCGAGCATTCCAAGCTAAAGGAAAGAGGGTAAGTCGGTGGTGTGGACACGGGGAGCTGAGCAGCTTGTTCCCAATTAGAGGCTGCCACTGCTTGCAGCCGGCGATGGAGGATGTGGGTTAAGAAGCTGGCATATCACGCATCCTGTTCTCTCCCTCTTGTTTTTTATCCTCGGAAATAAGGGTCCACACGCTTTCATTGTACTCCTCGCAAGTGGGGGGATGGGAGGAGGCTGGCCTGCCCCAGCTCTTCTCGGATGCAGAGCAGACCCCGGGACGGGGCAATGTCCGAGTCTGAGAGTGAGGGTGAGGGGTCCTGCCGGCCCAGAAACTTTTGTAGCCAGCACAGGTTGAAACAAGAAGCCAGAGGGTTCTGGGGAAACTGGGGGCACTTTCCCTGTCTCTCGGATGTCTTCCATTGCCCCAACCACGGGCTGTCGAGGCTCTTCCGTAGACCTGCAACCCTGGGGTGGGATGGTGTGTGTCGCCGTGTGTGTGGTCTGGACCCACGCCACCGCCGGGGACCCAAGAGCAGCCCGCTGTAAGCAGCATGCGGGACTTCAGTTCACCGTGGAGAGGACACCGACCACCGCTCGCCCCGGGGCTTGGGGGAATAGAGTCTCGGTCCCTAAAACGGGCAGGTGCTAAGTGGGCAGGGAGGGGGTACCCATGAGCCCTCTGCCGCAAAGGCAAAAGTCCGTGGCGGGTTGGCGTCAACTGCAAGGATCGGAGAAGCCCTGGGAACGCGAGGGCTCTCCGGGAGCGATGAGTTCGGGCTCCGCAAGGCGTCGCCTCGGGGCCGCGCCACGTGCGAGCATCTCAGGGACCTCGGCCGCGGCGGCGCGCCGGGACGGCCACCCCGCGTCCCCATCCGTGCGATTGTCACACAGACGTGGGTCCCCGCCCGCGTCCCGACCCTGCGGGAGATTATTTCTCTCTTCCCAGCGATCAGCTCGTCCCGCGGGGAGGCGCTTGACGGGTCTCGAGTCAGAGACAGATGGGAATGGGAGTGAGGAGCGAATGGAGGGGGGGAAGAAGCAGCAGCCGTGGAGCGAGGCTGCTTGGCGCGGGTGCGGGGAGGAGCCGCCACGGGCCGGGCGCCCAGGCGGGTCGAAGATGGGGATGGAGACTCCAGCACGATTCCCGGCGCCCCCTGGTGGCAATCGCCGCAGTGCGGGCTCCCAAAACAAGGCCGCGGGGCGCGCGCGGCGCCGGGGCTCCCGGCCGTCCCCGGAGTGCAGAGGCACCTCGCTCAAACGAGCCGGATCGGCTTCGGGCTTCTTGAGCGCCCAGCAGGGGAATCTGCGGGGCGGAGGCGACCCCGGGGGGAGGATGTTGAGGTGGGGCGGTGGGAGCGAGAGGGTCTTCATCCCACTACCGGACCCAAGTCCTTGCATCTCTCAGAGCTGAAGCTCTGCCGAGCTCCTGGGTTTGGGGCGCCTCTGTTTCCTTTGGGGTTTATTTGCAAAGGAGTCCGTGTTGGGGAGGGGAGATGTTAGGCATCTCGGTGCTTTGGCTAGGGACGAAAAGACCCAGGACTCATTCGCGGAAACTGCGGCCTTTTGCTGCCGCCCTCGGCCCTTCCCAGGCAGAGCACCCGGGGCAAAGGAGGGAGGGTGGAAGTTGGACCTTTAGGGACGCAGATTGCCGGAGTTCAGAAGGTGTGTTCTCTCCAGGAAGGGCCAGCGAGGCGCAGGAGATAACACTGAGCAGGCTTTCGCTGCCCACTCGCTAGCCCACTCCTCTGAGCCCCAGGACCACAAAGCGTGCCTGGCCGGTCACTTGGGCCTTGCGGCCTCCGGAAGGAGGGACTTAGAGAAGCCGTGGTTGGAGCCGGTGGATGGCGCTAAGTGGCCTGGCAAGTTGTAACAATGTGTCCACCTTACATATGAAAGAGCCTCGTTCTCCGGGGACCATCTCGTTGGATCTGCACAACCCCCTTCTGCCTGAGGCTGGGGACGGGGGTGTTGCGGAGGCCTCCTAGCCCGAGGGAAGATTAGGGGAAAGGACCCCCACACACACATACACACACACACACACCCCTTTCCTTTCCTGGCACCCTGTTCCCGATTTGCAATGTGAACTTACTGTTCGCAGTCCTCACACTAGATCCCCGGCTGCACGAGGGCGGAGGCCGGCCTGTGTGACACCCGGCGCCCAGCACCGTGCCCCCGGTCCGTATGGGATGAATGAACTGATTCTAGCCCTCGTGGACCTCCAGGCAGGCTTCTTCCCTGCGGGCCCACCTGGCACGTTCTCTGCCAGTCTTCTGCGCCGGGCACCAGGTTTTCCAAACCCTGGGGGCCCACGCGCGCCGGCCATGCAGAGCGGCCTGCTGCAAGGGCCGGGGTGTGCTGGGGCCCGCGATGCCTTCAAAGACTGACTCATCCCATTCATTTAAGGGAAGAAAATCTCTTGGCAGGGGCGTTTCTACAACGAGAAAAATCTTCTAGACAGTTACCCCAACAAAAGAACAAGCCCGTTTTATTGCTATTTCGTTTCCCGTGTAAAGTTTTGCTCACACCACTCTCTCATTCTGATTTGTTTGTTTAAGGGGGGAGCACCCCGCGTGGGCCACGCTGCTGGACTGTGTGGCTGGAGGTTCGGGAGGAATCGAAGTTCGCCCATTCGGGCAGGTCCTGGGCTCGCGCCCAGCGCACAAAGAGCCCGGGCTGCGGCTCGCGGGGACACGGACGCAGTCCCGCGGCGGGCACAGAAAAGTTCGGGCTGAGGCCAAAGCCACCCGGGGCGCGCGGAGGCGGGGCGCGCTCCCACCAGGACCTGCCCCGCGTGGCCCCCGCGGCCCACCCGCGCCCCGCTCGCTCACTGCTGGGGCGCAACGGCCGGGCTGGTCTGCGTTTGTCGTTTACAGCAACCCTGGGGTGCGCGCGGCGGCAGCTGGGGAGGGGGCGCAGTCAGGTTTCCTCCCCGTGAGCGCGTGAGGGGCATTCCCAACGGGAAACCAGCCCGGGAGAGTAGTGACCAACCCTGCTCAGATTACCCCTCGCTGGCTCCTCCCTTACTCCCCCCTCCGCCTCCAGATTTGCATAAAAAAGGCCAAGAAAACTCTGGCTGCGCCCCAGCCGCGGCTCACTCTGCTCCCACGGGTCGGAGCCCCCTGGAGCTGCGCGCCGGCTTGCAGCGCCGCCCGGCTCCTCTGCGCCCCGCCGCCGGCTCTCCAAGACCCCGTGCCCCGCGGCCGAGCGCGCG